TGGCTTTGGAGAAGGAAATCCAGATGCAGCTCCAGGACGAGGTGAGGCTCCCCCTGGGCTCCTGCCCCTTTCCTTGAGAGCTCCTGGCCCTGACTCCTGAGAGGACAGGCTCCTTGTAGCAGGGATGGGTCTGTCTCTCTGTGTGTCCATAGTGTTTGGCACAGGGACCTGCCTGGGGTCACCCTGAATGTCATGTGGGTCTAGAATCTGGGCCTCTTGCTCCTTAGCTGGGCTCCCCTGGGGAGAGAGTGGGCAAGGCATGCTGGGCTGGGTGCACCTGCGTCCCAACAGAACAGGCGCATTCCCAGCTGCAGACCTCCGGGAGAAATATGTGGAGTGTGGGGGCATGCTGATTGAGGCCCAGGAGGATGCGAAGGCCCCCCACCAGCAAGCCCTGGCGTCCGCGGGCTCTCTCAGCCACCACACATACGCTGTACCTCTGGGGAGGACCACCTGCCTGCGGCCTTTCTACCTGTGTCCCTTGTGTCTCATCCCTGCTGGCAGATTTCTTTCTTTCTTTTTTTTAAAAGATTTTATTGAGGAATTGGGGTAAGGGAACAGTGTTGGGGAATTGGGGAAGGGGAACATCCAAGTTGTCCTTCAGTCTTAGTTGTGGAGGGCGCAGCTAGCTCAGCTCCAAGTCCAGTCACCATACGGCCGGCCGCCCGTCGGCAGCTCAGGGCAGCTCAGCTCAAGGTGCCGTGTTCAATCTTAGTTGCAGGGGTGCGCAGCCCCCCATCCCATGTGGGAGTCGAACCAGCAACATTGTTGTCAGGGGCACGTGCTCTCACCCCTGCTGGCAGATTTCTATTTTCAGTCCCTTTCTGTGTCTGGAAGTCTGGGTGGGGGTTCAGTGGGGAGCCTCTGGTAATGTCCCCGCCTGTACCATAGGAGGCACATCCTGGTTTTCAGCAGTCCCTGGCTGAGGAGCTCAGATGGTCCATGAGGAGGATTATCTCAGACCCTGAGTTTTTTATGGAAAGGTGCGCCACTGGGCCCTGCAGACCCTTGCTGACCCACACTCTGGCCTGTCACATAGTGGGAGGGGTTTGACCTCTTGCTTTAACTTTCCTTCCCCCATAGTGCCCCTCCTCCTGACTCCCTACTCCTACCTGTTTGCCGCCCAGCCTCTCCCACTCACCACCCTTTTTTCCACCAGGTCTGGGTCTGGGTCCCTCATTTCTCCCTGGGATTTTTTTTGCATGATGAGGCCCCAGGGACTTTGCAGTTTGAGCTTCCATTGCCTTGGGACAGTGATGGCCCTTCTCTCTGTTGAAGGAATTATGAAATGACCACAGAGGAGACGTCAAACCTGGGGTAAGCCGGCCATTACCTTTCCTCACCTGTCAGCAGCCAGACAGCCACATGAAGCTGCTTCTGCGAGCCCACAGCCCTGGAGAAGACCCCATTCTCTGTTAGGTGCAAAGTTGTGCTGGGAAGGAGCTGCCTCCTTTTTCTTCAGATCTTGCCCCATAGGTGGCCGTCTGATTTAAGGCAGCTCCATGTGGAGACCGGATCCTTTCCTTCACCTGACCAGGGGCTGAGAGGGAATACCTGGGACTGAGTTCCAGCTCGATCCCTTTACTAGCTGTGTGTCCTTGGGCAAGTCACTTGACCTGTCTGAGCCTTACTAAAATGGATATGTTC